TCGGTTACCGGGACCATGTTATGCCAACATATCCTGGTGCTTTGTGGTGTTTTGGGATGTTTTATGGATCACTTATTACTAGTGTCGCTCACTAATAGACCAGTGATTGTACATCTTGGAGTGACCCACCGATATCACGTCGTAGTTTGATCACTAACTTGTTATTCCTTTTTTTCATATTTTATTCCTACTGCACTAAGCAGTCACCTAATAGAATTTGTAATGCTTATCTGGGAGGATTCGTCGTATCCTGTATTACAGCGATTTTTATTCTGACCCACGTTGACTTGTGTGTGTGTGTGTAATACTGTGCTGATTGGTCGTGTGCTTGATTGTAGGTTATTATATCCTTTTTATTGAGACATCCACGTCGTCTGAGTGCGACGAGTATTAAATCTGTCGCTGGTTCCCAAATCTTGTTCAGGGCAGTGGCTTCGGAGAGCGTCTGGTTTAACAAGTCGCTGTGTTGTATTATACCCCCCCCCCCTGAAATGTATTTTTATTTCACCGATTTTGCAACAATAACAGATAGTAAAACGAGGAGGCAAGTGGTGCTAGTTTTTGCTACGACAACCAACAATAGTTAGCAATTCTATCAGGTGGTCATGCAATAGTGTAGGTTGCTAGCCATACAAAAAAGGGATTTCATCAATACTTTGGCGGTGCATCGTATAAATGAAGCGCATTGGACGACTCGACTTCAGTCGAATCCCCAACCGTCTGTCTTTTTTGTTTCAGTCAAACCATTGAATAGCGACAAGAATCCCCAATTTCACATGCAGCCTTTTTTTTTAATTATTATTAACTCACAATCCGAATCTATACGAGTGATTCCCCCACCAGCCCCTATTTCTACATCCTGTCGTACAAGAAATGGTGAAGAAACCGCCATCACCAGTCCGATGGGATAAACTACGCACAGGTGCGTGTGATGAACCCACACGCTGTGGATCAGCCGATTGTAGACGATATGCTGAAAGTAAATCCTCTGGTATATCAGAACAAAAACTAAAACCGTCTCTGTTCCTCTGATATTATCACTTTTATTGATGTGGAGAATTTGCCAACTCAAGACGAGACTGTTAATTAAGATATGTTTAGTTCTGTGTGAACCACAGCAGGATAGCATGCTTACTCCATGAAGTGCTTCTCAAGTAACAGCAGCAAACAGACGATCGTTACAGTAAAGTCTCTGAGATCTATTATAGAGTAAATAATGGGAAGCAATATAAGTAGTTTTGAAGATTTGACTACCAGTCTTGAAAGTTGATTTATCCCAATCTCGTAATCTCGGGCGTAGTTTCCGAACACCTGTTCCTTATTTAAAGCTGTTTAAAAAGCCTATATTTATTGCAAAACAACCTGCGTTTGTGGGTGTTACATGCCCACGTTTTCACATCAAATGGATAAACTTCGATAACAAGTGGTGGTAGTGGTGGTGGTAAGAGGGGGGGGGGCGAACTAGGTGGATAAACTACCATAATTTATGGTGATAGTTTAACAAATGAGCTTAAAAAAGCTGTCAATGAAATAGATCGTAGAGAGAATAATGGATATGCTGTACACAGGATCATTTCGGTGTTGTCGTCGTTATATCCAATCTTCATCATCTTCGTTTTGTACGTTATAGCAGGTGCGTACGCAATCGCCCGTGTGTCCATTGTGTGTGATGCCAAGCCATCGTCAGTATTTGAGCGCAGCTAAAACATGTCGGAAGCATGGGTGTTGGCAATCTGGCCCTTGACCACACCCACGATCTGCTTAAACCAGTAGCAATCTAGAATGACAGGAAGGCGTACAATGCATCGAGTGTTTTGGATACCGCCGTGGGCTCTGGCAGGTTCAACACTTCCATTTATCGGTTTGGGATTGTTTGTTCAAACGATCTTTCCACGTCAAAAAATCATATCCTTCAAAGTTTTTAAAAGTGGTCGACAGAGACCGAGACGCTTTCCTCAGTAGTTTTGTTAATTTTGTTCGAACAGCTTTAAACGTTCAGGTCAGTGAGATTGAGACCTGGCTATATATGCAGAAATATAGCTGTTCAAAGTATCAAAACTTTTGACTTGACATATTTCTTTTGATTTTATCTCAGCCTTACAGGTCTTTTACCCAGAACGTGGTATATTTTACGTGTGTACATATTATACCATAACAAAGTTGACCCTCTTAGATTTATCCATTTGTTCAGGTTTCGCAGTTTTGCCCGTGCAAATCTCGGTTGAAGTCCGGCAATAATAACAGTACCAAAAGTAGCATTAGGTAGTT